ATGCCCCTCTGTGATGGCTAATTTTAGGAGTCAACTGGACCAGATTAAGGAAAACCTAGAAACCTAGTAAAACATTTTTCTGGGTGTGTCCATGATTCCGGAGTGTGAGTCTGAGTGGACTAGGTGAGGAAGATCTGCTCTCAGTGAGGAAATCGTCACTCAATTGGTGGAGGACCCAGAGAGAATAAATATAGAAGGCCGGTTATTCTTTATTTTTCTTTCTTTCTTTCTTTTTTTATAGAATGAGAGAGTGGCTTTCTACTTCTGCCTTGGACATCAGAACTCAAGGCTTACCTGCCTTTGGATTTCAGGATTTAGACCAACCAGCTCACCCCATGCCCAGCCCAGCGTTCTCAGGCTTTCAACCTGAGTGATTACGCCATTGGTCTCCCTGCTTCTGAGGCCTTTGGACTTGACTGAGCCATGCCACTGACATCACAGGGTCTCCGGCTTCCAGATGGTGTTCTGTGGGGCTTTTCAGCTGTCATAACCACGGGAGCCAATTCTATCAATAAATCCTCTCTTGGTTCTGTTTCTCTAAAGAAGCTTGACGGTTATACGTCCCAAAATATACTTCTCTGGCATATTTTGAGATGTCTCTAAAGGAGCTACAGATACAAAATTAACTTTAAAAGCAATAACCAAAAAAGCTGGTGGTGTCAAAGTGGTGCAAGCAGGAGGGCACCACTGCATGGTGTCTGAAGCCACATAGGAGACCTGGGTTCCTTTCCAGCCCAACCTAAACAGGCTAGTTGGGAGGCTGGGGTACAAGAATCAGGAAACGGGTAAAAGAATCAAGAATCAGCAAGATCCTGTCAAAAATACCTCTCTCTGAAGAGAAGAGGATAGAGAAAGATAGCAAGAGAACAATAGAGAGGCAGGACGTTAGTGAGAAACAGATATGGCTTATTAGCTGTTGATGATGACATGTATAGTATTCTCAACTGGATTGGTCTGAGAAGTGTTTCATGATGGGTAAAGTCTTTTTACAAGCAAAATGAGAAATAGTGATTGACTGTTTTAAAAAATAATTAGAATAATAATAATAATAATTGGGAAAATCATAGAAAAGATATTGAATGATGAAGTGGAGAGATTAATGTCTCTGTACTGACTGACATGCATGGCATTCCCTTTTGAAAAAGCAATGTAATACACTGTAAAGTTATATGTAATCCAATGTAATATAAAGAAGATTATGATGAAAATAAAAATTTTTTAAAAATACCTCTCTCTCTCTTTCTCTCTCTCTCAAAAAAAAAGAAAACTAAAATTTTTGTACATAAAGTATACATCCAACCAGTCAGTGGCATGGAGGATAAGGCATCTAAATCACACATGACCAGCTGCATGGTTCAAGTCCCAGACTCAGCAGCTTGAAAAACACACCAGGTGCCTGTGTGCCTAAAATCCCAAAGGGAGGAAAAAAATGGAGGAAAAGGGATTGCACCATGGCCATGGAGTGGGGAGGCACTTTTTCACTTTTCCTCTTTCTATCTCTCTCTGGTGACCATAGGCACCCTACAAGTAGGCTTTAGCTGAGCCACTCCTTACCTTCCTATACACAGGAAGAAGAAAATGAGAGGTTGAGACCTGGTCCAGATAAACAGGGCTATCTTTCCGTCTCATCCCTTCACCCGTTCACAGCTTCACCCCCAAACTTCAATTCTTTTCTGTACAGTATAAAACCTTCAATCAAAACCCTTCTATGGGTTTTGTATTATATATTGCTCCCGTACAAATAAGTATACATAAAATAACTGACTTTTTTCCTGTTAATTTGGCTGTCAGTTTATTTCATAGCCTAAAGATTACCAAATCTTAAGAGGGAAAGGAGAACATTTAAAAACACCCTATAGAAATCTAGTTTATTTCATTTTATGTTCCTTTCTGCATTTATTTATTTTGATATCATTTACTTTTTTTTAGAGAGAAAGAGATTTTTGCTAAAGGGCACATGCACTCACAAGAGAGAGACAGAAAGTGAAAAATCACCCCCAAAGTGGGTGGCCAGCCCACAATCCCTTCTTCATTCTCCTCTCAGGATCTTAGGCATACATGCACAGGCGCCCAGCATTGAGTTTTAAACCGCTGGGTCTGGGACTCAAACTGTAGTCAACTATGTGGGAGTCCAGGGATGTAAGCACTAGGCCACCTGCTGGTCCCATCATTTACATTTTTATGCCCTGGGTTCAGCAAACTTTACTCTGTGGGCCAAATCCACCCAGTTGCCTGATTTTGTACAGCCCTAGAGCTAAGATGGGCTTTATATTTTTTCTTTTTTGTTGTTGAGGTTATTGCCATGGGGTGTGTGCGCTCGCCAGAAAGAGAGAGACGGAGAGACAGAAAGCAAGTAATCACCCCCCAGGGGGGATGGACACGCCACAATCCCTTCTCCTCCATTCTCCTCTCAGGATCTTGGGCACGCACGCATACACACTCGGCATGAGTTTAAGCCACTGGGTCTGGGACTCGAACTGCGGTCGATGACATGGGAATCCAACAACATAGCCATTATTCCAACTGCTAGCCCTGGATTTTACTCTTTTTTTTTTTTTTTGAGAGGTTTTTTCGCTATAGGGCGTGTGCGCTTGCCAGACAGACAGAGACAGAGAGACAGAAAGCGAGAAATCACCCCCCAGGGGGGATGGTCACGCCGCAATCCCTTCTCCTTTCCTCCATTCTCCTCTCGGGATCTTGGGCACGCACGCACATGTGCCCGGCGTGAGTTTTAAGCCACCGGGTCCGGGACGCGAATTGCGGTCGACTACATGGGAATCCAGTGACATAGCCATTATGCTAACTGCTGGTTCCCAGATTTTACATTTTTTAATAGGTACACTTTAAAAGTTATGTTACCATCTTCATAATATCTCTTTTTGCCTGTGTGCCTGGCCCACAAAGAGTATTATATCTACAGTCTAGCCCTTTACAGAAAATGTTTGCTGATCTGGCCCCATAGGCTGGTAGTTAAGGAACTCTGATCCCACATGGCTAACCATGAGTGAATTCAAATCCTGGACTTGGCAGCTTGAAAAACACACTGGTCATGTGTGCATGCATGCCCCGAATCCTGTAAGGATGGAGAAGGAAAGAGGGGATTGTAGCATGACCACACCCATTGAGGGGTGCTTTCTCCCTCTCTGTCTTTCTCTGGCAAGCATTTGTGAGCCCTGGCAAAATAATCTTTTACAAAAGGGAAACTGTAGGTTGATTCCTACTCTGGCTGTTAATAAAATTTGCATTTAAATACTCCAGTCTGGTGGACGGCAGGTGGTGTGGTGGTTGGGGTGCTGGACTCCCACATGGCTGACCAGGGTTCCAGTCCTGGACTTGGTGGCTTGTTTTCTCACTTTCTCTCTCTTTCTTCCTCTCTCTTTCTCTCTGTCCCTCTCTGGTCAAATGAAAATAAATAAATAAATGAATAAATAAAGTTAAATAAAATAATTCTTAAAAAAAAAAATTCTAGTCTGGTCTTAGCTGTGATTTGGCTATTGTGTCCTTAGCCTGTTGGGGCTCATTTGGTAAAGGGGGAATAGCACCGCCTTGTAATAGGCATCAAGTAGCAGAAGCAACTATTCATGAGACCTTGTGAAGACCTTCTGGCAGTCAGATGGGCAGACTTGCAACGGGATTCTAACACAGTCAATGCTATGTATTAGCTTTACAAGCAACTGTGATGTAACTACAATTAGAGTCTGTGTCTGTATGAATCAGTATGTGCAAGTGAGTATGAGGATCATATGTGTTGGCATAAAGAGTAAATCTTGGGGCCAGATGGTGACACACTGGTGGTGCAACTGAACCCATATGGGAAAGCTCCTGGGATTGAATGCTAGGACTCCCTGAACACGAGAGCTGTGCACCTGCACACACATGATGAGCCGGGCAGGTTGGGATTGGGGGATGAGTCATGGCATAAAGACCCTGCTGGGGTGTATATCTGTGTCTCTGTTGGGGCGTGTATCTTCTTCTGTCTCTATCTCTCTCATGGAAGAAATAAATTTGTTTTAAAATAAAAGGTGAATCTGTGTCTTCAATAGAAAGAAGCCTATAGAGACCAAAAGAGAAAAATAAAGACCAGCTAAAATGGCTATTTAGAAATTTCGGAGGAGCCCAGTTGCAGTGCAGTAGATAGGAGTGCTACTGTGTGACACTGGAGGCTACACGGACAGGCTCCAGGTCCATGTCCCAAGTCTGCCGAACATGTCAGGCATGCCTATGGGCACTCCCGTGATCCTGGCTGACTGCAGAGAGGAAGGGATGGAGAGTGGATTGTCATGTGAGAATCTTGTCAGGGGTCCCCCCCTCCCCCTGCACGCACAAGAAATAAATACTTGGGTTGTCAGAAAAAGTCATGGTGTATTTTTTTCTATGTAAAAATGCATCATGACTTTTCTGAAAATCCAATAAATATAGTTTTCTTAAAAAGAAAGAGAGCATTTAGGAGGTAAATATCAGAAGAAACATTATGAAGCCTATCGACTAATTTTACTTTTAAAACTATGAATGTGTGTAACTTCAATTTTTTTTTTTTTATGAGAGATTTTTGCTATAGAATGCATGTGCTCGCCAGAGAGACAGACACAGAAAGCAAGAAATCACCCTCAGGGGGATGGCTATGCTACAATCCCTTCTCTTCCATTCTCCTCTCGGGATCTTGGGAACCCATGCACACATGCCTAACAATAGTTTTAAGCCCTAGGGTCTGGAACTTGGACTGTGGTCAGTTATGTGGGAATCCAGTGACATAACCATTATGCAATCTGCTGATCCCTATAACTTTGATTTTAAAAACTAATTTTTAGGGTCAGCACGAGGCCTGTGGGGCAAGGTAGGGTGGCTGACAGCAGTTCGAGTGCCAGACCTGGCAGCTTGCTTTCTCACACTCTCTCTATGGTGAGTAATAATAATAATAATAATTAATAAAAATTAAATTCTTTTTTAAAAAAACAAAACTAATTTTTTATTAATAAAAGAAATGTATTCCTAATGTTGTTTCCTTACTATTGTCAGTCACGGTCAGCCCTTCTCACTCTCCTTAACTGATTCTTTCTCTCTATTGGTCTTTTTTATTTTTCATAGCTGACAGATTTACTTTAATCACCAATTCACAAGTAGGGATCTCATTTGCATATATTAGAAAGTTAAAAAGACATGTTACATTGTTTAATCAGCAAAAATAAGTGTTACACAGACTTTTAATGTTCACAGTTTAGGATTTATCACATAAATATAACATTTATAAATATATCCTTTATTTGCAAAATTATTCTTAAAACATTTATTTTTCAATACACTTAAAATGTTCATGTGTTTTAAGAGAAAAATACCATCTAATTTAAAAATGTACTATTCAACTTTAATATATGATTATACCAGTCCCACCAAATTAGAAAAGAAAAAGAAAAGAAACATAACTGCTTCATTGGATATGTAGTCATCATTATAAATAACGACAACACATGTCCTATACAGTGATCACATACACGCTCTTGTTCACCTCTCAGTCATTGTCAGAACCACTTGGAGGTAAGAAAACCAATGAGTCATTGAAAACGTGGCCAAATGCCCTAAGACGGTATACCCCATACATCATCACATGCATCTGATTAGGAGTCAGTCCATTAAAAGTAACAGCCATATCTGAACAACAGCCTTCTACTACCTGGTTGGGGTAATAAGTCATTGCCTCTTTAATAAAAAGTCTAATAGATTTGGTATTAAACATATCTTTTCCATCAGCATCTTCTGCATTTTCTGCAAACACTCCCGCATACTTCAGACAGACCCCTAGCTGCATATCTTCAGCTATCTTCCAAATCAGCTCTCTCTGTTTGGGACACTCTTCAGGGTTCCTGAGAAGGCTATTAAGTCTCTTCATGGATTCCATGCTTAAGACAATTCCTCCTTCCACACTCACATATTCAAGGTCTCCAGATTTTATAGTGTGGCCTAGATAGAAAGGCTGTGATGGATCCTTTTTTAACAGAAAATACTTCAGGTTTTCAATAATAGCAAATGTAGTGGGGTAGGCAAGAAAGAACCAGTTGTATTGGTCTTTATATTTATCAAACACATATCTGTAAGCTTTCCTCATCATTAACCACATGTCCTTCGTTTCCATGTTAATCGACTCAAACACTTCAACATTTTCAGAACTGAAGAACTCTGCTTTGTCACAGTGTTTGGTCCACGAATCCTTCACAGCTGCCCAAAGACTCATATCTTCGGGTTTCACAAGGATGATGCAATATACCCGAAAGCTCTTACTGAGCAATACGCGTTCGTCTTCCGAAATTCTCAAGGTATCTTCTTTGTTAGGAGCTTGTAGGTGATGATGCTCATGATGGTGCATTCTGTTTTCAAAACCAATTTTAACGTGTCCTAGCATAGTGATCAAAGCACAGAAAATGCTGCCCAGCATCACACCCTTCAAAAACGACTTGCCTTCAGAAAACATTTTTCCACGTCTAGACCGGCACAGAGGAAGGAAACCGCAGACACACACGTCGTTCATCTCGCGTTCGCGAGCCACTCCTTTAAACTTCTGGCGGGGCTGCTCTACATGCCGGCGGTATCCTCTCGTTGGTCTTGCTAGAGGAGGGCTCTAATAGATCTCTAATGTCAGAATACTGCAAGGCTTTATCCTAAGTTCTTCCTTTCTCAAAGCTTACTCTCTCACCAAGTCCTATGGTCCTCAGTACCACCTGATGACTGCAAATTTCTCTCTCTAGCTCTGCTCTGTTTGCCACTCACACAACCAACAGCCTATTTGACTCCTCTTCCTAGGTATAAATAGCTATTTCAAACTTAACACACATAAGGTGTTCTCTTAATTTTGTCCCTAAAGGCTATTCCTTTCCTAGTCTTTCTCTTAGTAAATGTTACCATCATCTTACCATCATCTGCTCATGCCTGAACCGAAAACTCAGATTTCATGATTAATTTTTCCCTTTGCTATGGCGATATCCACTTTGGATGTCCTGCTGTCACTACCTTTAAAATGCATCTCAAACCTGGTCACTTCTGTCCATCAATGTTGTCACCAACCCAGTCCAAGCCACCAGAATTGCTGGCTTAGATCTTTCCAAGAGCTAGCCTCGCTTCCACTCTCACCAAGCTTACGTGGTGGCCCTGTCCCTCACTTACATCCCGCCCAGGGGCATTTGCTAGGAGGAGAGCAGGGCAAGGCATTGTTTTCCACGAGTACATTTTCTAGAACAGACACCCTTTCAGAACTTTGACATTTGCAGGACCTCTTGGAAGAAACATTTGGCCGAGGCAGTGAATTTTCATGCATCTTCAAAGGAAGTTTGTGACCATGCTTCTAGTTCCAGCTACACTGGCCACTTTTTTCCTGCGAACAATATGTCAAATGTTTTCTCACATAGAGTCCTGCATTTATTAATTCTTTTATCCAGAAAGCTCTTCCCTCCCTCTTCTGAGAGCTGTTGCTTCTCATCTTTCAGGTCTCAGATGAAATGCCACTTCATCAGAAATGCCTTCCATGACTGCCCTTTTTGAAAATAGCATCACTTCTGATTACTCTCCATTACCATTACCATATGCATTTATTTCCTTCATAATTCTTATTGAAATTTGAAATGATGCTGTTTGTCTGCTTGTGTATTAATCAGAATTAACTATTATACAAGATCATTTTAAAGTCTTAATGGCTTAACAGACTGAACTTTTGCTCCCTCTCACCCACACCATCAGAATAATAATGGCTCTCTCCTCCACAGTATCATTCAGGGACTCAGCCTCTCTTGTTATGCACAAGTCTTCATACATGCCATTCAAGGTCTCAGTAGAAAAGGAAGAGATGTGTAGAGAAGGCACACCTTTTCTTCCACCGCAGCTGATCACAATTGGCAAGAAGTAGTCACAAAGCACCACTTAAATACAAACAAGTAGTTTAGCTGTATATCCAAGAAGAGGAAATAAATGTTAGTAAATAAGCAGCTAGTCTGTATCCAACCTGGATAGAATACAGTTTTGTGAGGGCAGGAACATGATAGTAACTATCATCCATATCCACTCTTGACTCCTTAGTTGTCCCCAAAGAGCAGAGCAATCTGGATCAAGTCTTTTTCTTTCTGCTTAAAAACCCTTTAATAGGGACCAGTAGGTGGCATGGTGGTTAAGGTGCTGGACTCCCACATGGTCAACCAAGGTTCAAAGTCATGGACCTGGTAGCTTGCTTTCTCACTTTTCCTCTCTCTCTCTTTCTCTCGCTCTCTCTCACGAGCACACCTATCCTATGGGCAAAGTTAAGAAACAATAATAAATAATAATAATAAAGCAAATACACACATATATACATATATATATATATATTTACACACACACACATATTTTTGAGATTTTTTTTGGTAGAAGTTTTTCCCTTAGGGTGCATGTGTTCACCAGAGAAAGAGTGGGAGGGAAAGAAAGAAACCACCCCCAGGGGGAATGGCCATGCCACAATTCTTTCTCCTCCATTCCCTTCCCAGGACCTTGGGTGCACGCGCACGTGCACACACACACACACACACGAGCCCAGTGTGAGTTTCAAGCCATTAGGTCCAGGACTATCTGAGAGTCCAGTGACATAACCTTTATGGTCTCTGCTGGCCCCAAATAAATAATTCTTTTCTTTTTAGAGAGGTTTTTGTTATAGGGTGCGTGTGCTCGCCAGACAGACAGAGAGAGACAGAGAGACAAAAGCGAGAAATCACCCCCCAGAGAGGATGGCCATGCCGCAATCCCTTCTCCTCCATTCTCCTCTTGGGATCTTGGGCACGTACACACACACGCCACCAGGTCCGGGACACGAACCGCAGTCAACTACATGGGAGTCCAGTGACATAGCCATTACACTAACTGCTGGTCTCAATAATTCTTTTTTTTAAAAGAGAGATTTTTGCTATAGGATATGTCCTCTTGCCAGAGAGATGGAGAGACAGAGAGAAAAAAAATGAGAAATCACTTCATGGGGAAATGGCCATGCCACAATCCCTACTCTTCCATTCTCCTCTTAGGATCTTGGGCACACACACACATGTGCCCAACGTGAGTTTTAAGCCACCAGGTCCAGGACTTGAACTGCGGTTGTCTATATGGGCGTCCAACAACGTAACCATTATGCCATCTGCTAGTCCCCCAAGTAATTCTAAAACAAACAAACAAACACCTTTAATAACTTTCTACTGTACTTAGCATAAACCTTAAACTAAATCTTTTTTTTGTTCCCAGTTGTCAGAGGGCACATTTGCTAACCAGAGAAAGACTGAAAGACAGAGAGAGGAAGAACGCACTCCCCTTCCATGGGGACATGGTCACATTTTGATCCCTTCTCCATTTCTTCATCCTGTCAGGATTTTGTGCATGCACACACACATGCCCAGTGTGTTCTTCAAGACACCGGGCTAGGATTCAATCTGTAGTTGGCCATGTGGGATTCAGCTCTCTTAACTTCTAGGTTATGGGGATGGCTCCCAAGCTAAACCTTTCATATTATCTAGGAGGTCTGTATGATCTGGCCTCTCTTGTCTATTTCCCCTTCTTTACACTCTGAACTCCAGCAATGGGCTTACTTTCAAGTTCCTCAGATGTGCCAACCTCTTCTTCATTTCGTAAGTCCTGTACAGGTTGTTCCCTCTGTTTGGAATACTACCTCCCCTACTCTCTATTTTCACAATCTGACATAAACTCATTCTTTTAGTCTCAAGTCAAATGTTTCTTCCAAGAGATTCACTGTGGTAGACAGTGATGGCCGCTAAAAACATCTATGTCTCAATTCCCAAACTTTGTGGCTATATTAGGCACATGGCAAAAGGAAAATAAGGTTGCCAATCAACTGGAATCAATTGACCTTAAAGGTGACTTATCCTAGATAATCTAGTGTGCTCAAGGTAATTATAAGTGGAAGAAAGAGGCAGAAGAGTCAGAGAAGGGGATGAAGTCAGGTAAGAGTGATTGATACAAAAAGAATTCCACCCCGAGGCCAGCAGGTAGTGTGGTATTTGAGGCACTGGACTCCCACATGACCAACCATGGTTCAAGTCCCAAACCAAAAGCTTGAACATCAAGCCAGGTACATGGGCAGCATGTATAAAACCCCTGGAGGAGAATGGTGGAGAAGGGATTGCAACATTGTCATGCCCCCAGAGGGATGATTTCTCATTTTCCCTCTCTGTCTCTCTCCTGGCAAGTGTACATGCTCCACGGCAAAAACCTTAAAAAAGGTGGGGCGGGGGGGATTCAACCCACCGTTGCAGCCTTTGAAGTTGTATGGAAGCCATGAGCCAAGGAATGTGGACAGCTGTCTTTGCACGCACCTGCCATGCTCTCTGCTTCTGTGACACAGCACTGCAGGCCAGCCTGATGGCTGGCCTGACACATTTGGACTTTCTATTCACCCGAATTGTAAACCAAATAAAACTGTACTCTTTATTTTTATTTTTAAAGAAAGGACAAAAACAAACAAGCGAAACTAGTATGGGCAGCCTACAGAAGCTGGAAAGTCAAGGAAATAAGTTGTCCCCAAGGCCATGAGAAAGGGACAAGACTTCTGACCTTGAGAACTATAAGATAATACATTTTAGGGTTTTTTTGTTTGTTTCTTTGTTTTTGTTTTTTTTTTTTTTGAGAAGATTTTGGTATAGGGCGTGTGCGCTCGCCAGAAAGACAGAAAGAAACAGAGAGACAGAAAGTGAGAAATCATCCTCCAGGGGAAATGGCCATGTCACAGTCCCTTCTCCTCCATTCTCCTCTTGGGATCTTGGACACGCACGCACATGCGCCTGGTGTGAATTTAAGCCACTGGTTTCGGGATTCAAACCTCAGTCAACTACATGGGAGTCCAGCGACATAGTCATTACACTAACTGCTGGTCCCCATTTTAGGTTGCTTTAATAATCCACTAAATTTGTTGTGGCGGTAATAGGAAATGAATCTGGCCTTCTCAACTCCCTGGCTCCCTCATCTTCCTGCCTGTTAATTGGGTCCACATCTTATTTTCTCTCCTAACAGGCCTCTGTTCCTCTTCCCTTGCATGCATGGATCACTGGAAGGCTGCTTTGCAGAGCATGGGCCTGAGTACCTGACCTTCACCCAGTTGCATGGTAAATACTCAGGAACGTGTTGGGTTTTTCCCCCCCAGTTATTTGTAGCTGGTGGGTTGACTGGAAGAACAGTAAAGCAGGAGGGAGAACAAAATAATATAAGCCCCTCCATGAAAATGGCTGAGAGGTCTTCTCATGCCTGTTCAAAGATTCAGCATGAGGATTTATCATCCCAGAAAAGAGCTTTAAAAGTTACTTATCTTGGGGTTGGCAGGTGGTGTGGGGCGCTGGACTCCTACATGGCTGACCGTGGTTCAAGTCTCAGACCTGGTGGCTTGCTTTGTCAATTTCCCTTTCTCTCTCTCTTTTTCTCTCTCTCTCTGGTCAAACTAAATAAATAAAGTTAAATAAAATAATTCATTTTTGTTTTAGTTTTTTTTTTTGCTATAGGGCGTGTGTGCTCGCCAAAAAGACAGAGAGAGACAGAGAGATAGAAAGGGAGAAATCACCCCCCAGGGAGATGGCCACACCACAATCCCTTTTCCTCCATTCTCCTCTTGGGATCTTGGGCACACACACACACACACGTGCCCGGTGTGAGTTAATCCACCGGGTCTGGGACTTGAACTGCAGTCGGCTACCTGGGAATTCAGAGACATAGCCATTATGCTAACTGCTAGTCCCAATAAAATAATTCTTTTAAAAAAAAGTTACTTGTCTCCTTTATAGTTCTGTTTTCTTAAAAGTAAAATAAGTAGTTATACTTTCTTTAGAAGGTTTTTGGTGAGAATTAAAGGAAAGAAATAAAATAATTAACACCATGTTTTGCTGCTCATAAACATTACTGCCATTTTCTTTTAGAGAGAAACTTTTGCTATAGGGTCCACACACACACCAAAGAGTCAGAGAGAGAGAGACAGAAAGTGAGAAATCACCTCCCAGGGGGATGGCCACAGTGCAGTCCCTTCTCCTCCATCTCCTCTAGGGATTTAGGGCATGCACACATAAGTGCCTGGTGGGGGTTTTAAGCCACTGGGTCTGGGACTCCAACTGTGGTTGACTACGTGGGAGTCCAGCGATGTAACCATTATGCCATCTGCTGGTCTCTGCAGTTGTTATTATTGCCTTCATGATGATCATCTTCATTCCAAACTTCTTTTTACTTCTTGTTCATGTTATATACAAAAGATTCACTACATTTATCCAAAACTAATATTTTTAAGAAAACAATTAAATTCGTTAGGGTGCATGTGCTCACTGGACAGAGACAGAGAGTGAGAAAGCACCCTCCAAAAGGGAATGGTCACCATTTCTTCTCCTCCATTCTCCTTGTGGGATTCTGGGCATGCACATGCACCTGGTGTGCTGAATTTCAAACCACCAGGTCCAGGACTCAAACTATATAGTCAGACAAGTAAGTCAGCCACCTTAACCACTATGTTTTTGTTTTTGTTTTTGTTTTTTTGGAGAGGTTTTTGCTATAAGGGCGCGTGCGCTCGCCAGACAGACAGAGAGAGACATAGAGACAGAAAGCGAGAAATCACCCCCCAGGGGGGATGGTCACGCCGCAATCCCTTCTCCTCCATGCTCCTCTCAGGATCTTGGGCACGCACGCACACACACCCGGAGTCCAGGACGCGAACCGTGGTCGACTACGGGGGAGTCCAGCGACATAGCCATTACGCTAACTGCTGGTTCCCTCACCTTAACCACTATGTTACCAACTGGCCCTGTAAAACCAGAATTGATAAATAGCTAAAGATCTAAAATGGATGCCTTTAATATTTTCCAGTAGTTTTGTTCTGAGGTTTATGTGCAGTTTCAGTTCATTTTTATTGAGCAGTATAATTCAAAAAATACTATACAAATAGAACAGAAAATGGCTACTTTTTAATTATTATAGCTAGTTGGATCTAGATAAAGAGTCAATCCAACATAGTTAAAAACAAAAACAAAACCAAAGCAAAAAAAAAACAAAAACACAAAAAACCTAAGCCTTAATTGGAGTTGTCTGCATTTTCTTTGTGGTCCATCATTTGTCTAAATCTTTTACTCTCCAACATTCTGAGTTGCTTTCATGTAGATATCACCAAAGCAAACTATCAGACTTCAGTTTATCAGAAGCAAAATTTAAAAGGCAAATGGCAACCTCCAACAGATGGAATAAATTATTTTTTGCATGAAAAATAATTCAGGGAACTGTAAGTGATCTGGGGCACCTAATGTGGAGAAACCAAGTATAAAAGGAACTGAACAGGTGGCTCCCGGGAGGTAATTTTAGCCAGAGCGTTCTGCAGCCCGTCTCTTGGGAGTGAAGGGAGGTCAGTGCACTGACCTGCGGCTGCAGAAGTACTTGGAATGTTCAAGCACATGCGTCCAGTAATTGAGGACAGCAGAGCCAGGCTGAGGCTGTTCAACAACTAGGAAATTGAAAGTTACTCAACCCTAGGGGGGTTGTATTCTTGATCTTGGAGCCTGCATAAAGAACAGACCGTCATGCTCAATTTTTGCCTCTAATCTAGAGTGTACACGCGCATAGCGCAAGGACGCTAAGCATATCATGACAATATCATCCTGTGATATTTGAAGAGTCAGGGAAGTGGGCTGAGGCTGGCGATGAAGAAAAAAGCCTTTTGATTGGGGAATGCAGAAAACACTTTTGATTGGGCCATGGCCATTTATGTCCATGGTTTTCCAACTCATGAAACTGTGACTCACAATAAGAACCACCTCTTAGGCAGAGCCCATAGTGAGCGGTTAAGGCAGCTGAACCCCACATGGCCAACTGCAGCATGAATCCCAGACCCAGTGGTTTGAGAAATACATTGGGCACATGTGCATGCATGCCCCAAATCCTGACAGGATAGAGAAATGGAAGGAAAATGGTTGCAGTGTTACTAGGCCCCACCGGGGTGCTTTCTCTCTCTCTCTCTCTGTCTCAATCTGGCAAGCACACATATTCTCTGGCAATTAAAAAGAAAATCATATCTTACATCATGACCCAGTATGTCCATGTGTGTGCACACACGCTCACATACACTCTGCTTACTATATGACCTGATGCGCTCTGCTATGTGTTATTCTATTTCGTTTTCTATTTTCTCTGCTATGTATATTCTCATTCATTTATTCAAGAGAGAGAGAGAAAGAAGAAATGAAAGAAGGAAAATGAAAGAAAAGGATATGAACCTGGAATGCCATGTGAGTTCAGCATCACAGAGCAGGGCATTACTGTTCCATCACTGGCTGGATGCTTCTTCTCCTTCTTGCTGTAGGGCTCATGCACTTGCTGGAGAGAGAGACAAATAGAGAGTGAAAATGAGAAATCATCTCCTAGGAGAGATGGCCACACCACAATCCCTTCTCCTCCATTCTCCTCTCAGGATTTTGGGTACACATGCACATATGCCTAGTGTGTTTCCCAAGCTGCGGGGCCCAGGACCCAAACCACACAACTGGCCACGTGAGATCCAGTTGCTTTAACCGTCACACTACCTACTGGCCCCTATTTTTTTTTTTAAAGGAGGAAAGTAAAAGTATAGGAACACACACCATCAGATCGATGAAAATGTGGGACTTTCTGCTGTTTTATTTATTCGTTCTTACTTTCTACCACTCCAGCTAGTCAAAGCAGAAAACTTTCAGGACTTTACCTTTAAGCAAATGAAGATCAAAAGATGAGTAACTCTTTGCAAATAGTGAAACAGACACAATCTTTTAAAAAAAATGGCCAATTTGAAACAGCTCAGTAGAGGCCTAGAACCAACCAGGGGCCTAAGACCATTGTTTCAATTGTCACATGGTCAATTTGAAACAGCTCAATAAAGGCCTAGAACCAGGGGCCTAGGACCATTGTGTCAATACCTCCTCCATAAATCTGCAGGGAGCCTGCCCCACCCACAGTCCCCTTTGAGGGTGACCAAGACTGGTTTTACATGACTTATCACCCAGTCACACAAATAAACCAAGAGCCACTGACAGAAGCTCTGCCAACTGGATGCCGAAGGCTGTCGAATACAAGCCATCTCAGACCTTTATGTAGGTGGAGAAAGTGTGCTGATAAAGGCAGGGGCTGTAGATTCAGAGGCAAAACATCAGAGACACCATAACGGTGGAGCCCCAGAGCAGGGATGCCAGTTGCACAATACGGGGTATTGAGACAGTGTCACCAGAGACACTACTAGAGTAAGGGGCTATGGGTAGATTCCAGATCACGTCCTATATGGCCTGACCACATGGCCTGAGACCACATCCTGTCTCCTTTATTTCCCTATGTAGCCTTGTAGCTAGCCTTTATGGGTAGAAATCATCTGAGGATGTGCCTGTATCTTAAAATGCAGAAGAATTTAACTCACATGTAAATTCGGATTCTGGCCACTGCTTGCTTCCCTAATGAAGAGCTGGTGGTGGCTAGATGCCATTGGTAGGGCAGCTTATTCCTCATCCTTCCTTGCTTTGACCGTCTCCACTGCAGACACTGAAAACACTGGGTACTTCTTTCCCAACACTTGCAATGAAGCACTCCAAAGTGGCTAATTCTGGACACCAAGACAAAAGTGGAATTCAGAGGGCTTAACAGGAGGGTGCCTGAGGAAGGTTTTCCTTCTATAGAAGAGGGTCAAGAGTAGGAGCAATGGTCACTGGCTCTGCTCCTTCCCCTTCCTGCCTTCACTGTAAACATGACACCTAGAGCTGTGGCTGTCGTCTCACTATCACAGAGCAAAAAAAGCATGTGTAAAAGAAAAAATTTCAAGAACAGTTAATAGTCTCTATTTGAACAAGAGAAACATTCTAGAATTGGCAGCATTTCAGATCAAATTTAGTTCAGAGAGCTTCACCTCTCCACAGGTGTAGGCTATATTCATAGCCAGAAAAAAGGAAGTACCATGCAAAACTAAGAACAGAAAACCACACTGATTGGCTATAGCTGCCATTTGCCTTGTAACTTATTGACAGCCTCTGATTGTCTGAGGTGTCTGCTGCTGTGATGGGCGGAGGCTCAGCTCCTAGATTACCTGAGGTTAAATTTATTTATTTATTTATTATTTATTTATTTATTTATTTTCTCTCAAGACAGAGAAAGACAGAGAGACAGAAAGCGAGAAATCACCCCCCGGGGGGATGGCCACGCCACAATCCCTTCTCCTTCATTCTCCCCTTGGGATCTTGGGCACGCACGCACACGTACCCAGCATGAGTTTAAACCACCAGGTCCGGGACTCAAACCACGGTCGACTACATGGGAGTCCAGCAACATTGCCATTACGCCAACTGCTGGTCCTTATTTATTTATTTTTGAGAGAGATTTTTCCTATAGGGCATGTGCACTTACCAGAGAGACAGAAAGCAAGAAATCACCACCCCTCATGGGATGGCCATGCCATAATCCCTTCTCCTCCATTCTCCTCTCAGGCTTTTAGGCACGCACGCACACATGCCCAGTGTGAGTTTAAACTGCCAGGTCCAGAACTTGAACCATGGTCAACTACATGGAAGTCCAGCAACGTAACCATTACTCCACCTTCTGGTCCCTACCTGAGTTAAATTACAATTTACTTGCACATCAAGTTAGGTTACAGCTCAGTACATGCAAAAACTGCTTTGGTTCGATTTTATCACTTGAGAATGAAGAGTGGCTTAAATCAATTCAATTTAATATATGTTAGTAAAAGAGCTAAGTGCTAAGGACAGGTTGGAAAAAGAGGATCCTTCTTGGCATTGTTGGGCAGCTAAACCAGGGCCAGCAACTTCCTACCTCCAGACTCCTAATTCCATGAGAAAAACTAAATATCTTTATTCATACCTTTCCTAGTGGATATAACATATATAGTATACTTCTGTATATAAAATTAATAACAGACTATGTACCATAGATTTACAATTTCCTCAAGCAAACTTTTTAGCAAATCATATGTTACTCATTTTATAGTAGGATTCAGTTAGTATTACTATTTCTTTTCTTTTAAGAGAGATTTTTGCTATAGGGTCCGTGTGCTCACTAGAGAGAGAGAGATAGAAAGTGAGACACCCCCCCCCAGGAGGGATGGCCATGCCACAATCCCTTCCCCTCCATTCTCCTGTCAGGATTTTGGGCACACATGCACAAGTGCTCAGCATGAGATTTTTAAGCTGCCTGGTCTGGGACTTGAACTGCAGTCGACTACATGGGAGTCCAGCAATGTAACCACTACACCATCTGCTGGCCCTATCTTTTTTTTTTTAATTGTTGTAGAACACATGCACTCTCCTGAGAGAGACAGATAGGATAAGAGAGGGATAGTGAGAAAGTACCCTGTTTTTCCCCAAGGTTTTTGCCATAGGGCACATGCACTCGCCAGAGAGACAGAGAGATGGAAAGTGAGAAATCACTCCCCCGGGGGGAAGGCCATGTCAGTATCTCTCCTCTTCCATTCTCCTCCTGGGATTTTGTACACACACGCACACACACACACACACACACATACCTGGCATGATTTTCAAGCCTCCAGGTCCTTGACTTGAACTGCGATCAGTCATGTGGGTGTCCAGCGCCTTAACCATTATGCTGCTTTCTGGCCTGAGAAAGCACCCTTCTAAAGGGTCTAGCCATGTTGTAATCACTTCTCCTTCATTCTCCTCTTGAGATTTTGGACACAAACACACAGACACACACACACACACACACACACACACACATGCATCTGGATGTTTATTAAGCCACTGGTCAGGGACTTGAACTGTATAGCTGGCCGTGTGGGATCCAGCCACATTAATAACCATGCCACTGGCTGGTCCTACAATTTCAAGTTTTAAAAGTCACATTAGGTTTTGTTAAGGAGAGGCAGCTTCTGTATCTGTCAGTGCCTGAGCTCTGCAGACACTTCTGAAAGGGAATGATTTCTATTTGCACACACCTCCACTACTCAGGCACTGCTCACGTGGATGGCTGTTCACAGTTTCCTGCAGGAAGAGTGCAAAGGCCTGAATCACATTCATGATCAAGCACTTTATCACCACTCATGTGCAAGGGAACTATTAGAGAATCAATGCAACCATGCAGAAAAATGTCAGGGGATGATTTACAAGAATATAGGTGGACCCAAAAGACATTATGCTAAGTGAAATGTCAGTCATGGAAGAACATAACACTGCATCACGCCGCTATATGAGGCATCCAAAATAAGCTTACAGAAGCAGAAAATAGAATGGAGATTGCCAGGGGATGGGAGAAAGGGAGAATGGGGAGTTGTTGTTCGATGGGTATAAATAGGCTGAGACAAGATGAGTAAGATCTAGAAATCTGCTGTACAACATTTACAATGTGCACTTAGAAACTTAAAAGGGTAAATCTCATGTTAAGTGTCCTTACCATTTTAAAAAAATTAAAAAGGCAATCAAAGGGACAAAAGGAAACTTTTGGAAGTGATGAATATGTTCTTGTGGTAATGGTATAATAGGTATATGCATGATGTCCACATTCATCAAATTGCACTCAGTGGGCCGGCAGGTGGTGTGGCAGTTAAGGGTACTGGACTCCCAGATGGCCGACTGCGCTTTGAGCCCCGGACCTGGTAATTTGCTTTCTCGCTGCCCTTCTCTCTGTCCTCCCGGCCCCATCCCTCTCTGGTCAAATTTAAATAAATAAATAAATTTAAATAAAACAATTCTTTTTTTAAAAAGTGCCTTTTTGTATATCAATTATACCTAAATAAGCTGTAAACAAACATTAAAACGGGGCCAGCTTTGTGGCCTAGTGGTTAAGGGAGCCGACTACCATGTGGCTGACCACACAGTTTGAATCCCAGCTTGAAAAACACACCAGGCATGAGAGTGTGCATGCTCAGAATCCTGACAGGATGGAGAAATGAAGGATTGTAGTGTGAACACGCTCCATTGAGTGGTGCTTTCTCCCTCTTTCTGGAGAGCACACCACACTCTAACAATAAAAAAAAAAATTTATTAGAACACTATAGGTCAGAAAAAAAAAAAGAAAATTAACCTGTGAACAGTCTAATAGGGACAGTATGTTTAAAAAAAAAAAAATTGAGCCAGCCAGGTGGTGTGGTGGTGAAAGCGGTGTAGTGGTGAGGGTGGCAATATCCCACATGGCTGACTTTGTGATTTGAATCCTGGACCTGGCAGCTTGAAAACATGACAGGTGCATGTGCATGCATGCTCAAAATCCTGAGAGGAGAATGGAGGAGAGAGGATTGTGGCATGGCCATCTCCCCTAGAGGATGATTTCTCGGTTTCCCTCTTTCTCTGTCTCTCTCTGACAAGGATATATGCCCTATAACAACAACAAAAAATTGGATATGAATCTTTGAAAAATACTTAGTCACACCCATCGGACATCTCAGAATTCTCTATTTATGACCCACAGCGCTCATACTCAGCCCACATATCAGGAGCTCTAAATAGAACAGACACTGGCGAATGCTGGTTAACTAACAAATTCCTCTGCAGAACAGCAGCTCCGGCAGCAGGCGCGTTTCAACCTCGTGCTTATGTTGGAGCTGATAACAATGTCGTGTTGGATTTCTCTCCTCATTGCGTCCTTCCCTGTAGGGTCAAGGTCAGTTCTCACTTGATGGTTCGAATCACAAGGACATGAATTCCTCTTAGGGTAGACAAATGTCAGGCTTGCTCTCTGAACACCACAGAAGGATTTTGAATTGATGAAGGCCTCTATGAGACCAGGAAACACTGTTCCTAATTTGGACTTTGCAACAGTTTGGGGGAAATTCTGCATCCAGAGCTACAAGTACCATGTTTCCACCATCGCCCTTTCACCTACTTACCTAGAGATAACTAGACCTGGGGCGCATTGATCTAGTCAAGAAAGTGCCCTCTATACTTTGACACAGCCTATTTCCCAAATTAAAAAAAAAAAAAAAAGTCCTCTATAAATAAACAGAATGATCTTTTCCCCAGATATGTTCCTTTTAGTCAGAGTTCACAGAAAAATCAAAACTGAAGGCCAGCCAGAGTGGCACAGCAGTAGTGCAACACTTGGCGACGCTGAACCCATACCGGGAGATCCCAGCTTAGCCTGCCAAGGTCTTCCTGCACACTCCAGCCACATGGGCCTGTGGACTGTGCAAGCTGAGGCTGGGAAGTGCATTGCAGCATGAAGACCTGGCTGGGAAGTCTATCTTTCTGTGTCTCATTGAGGAAATAAACTTTTAAAAAGTAAATAAATAGGGCAAGCTGGTACATGGTGTCAGATGGCTGGATCCCACATGGCCAACTTTATGGTTCAAGTCCCAAGCCTGGCAGTTTGGGAAATAAACCAGGGGCATGTGTGTGTATACTCAAAATCACAAGAGGAAAAATGGAGGAGAAGGAATTGTGGTGTGGCTATCCCTCCTGAGAGAAGCTTTCTTACTTCCTCTCTCTCTCTTTCTCTTTATCTGTCTCTGGCAAGTTCTGGCACCCTATAGCAAATTTTTTGAAAATAATAATCGTGGCATGGTGATTAAGGTGGCCAACCTGCTATTTGAGTCCTGGTCCTGGCAGTTTGAAAAACACACCAGGCATGTGTGCAAACATGCCCAAA